GGCCTCCTGCACTGGTCCTCCAATTTTCTTTTTTCTCTCCAGTTTTCTTCCTCTGTGTTTTTTGCTCTGTTTTCTGGGAGACTTTCTCAACTTTATATTCCAGCCAGATTTGTCTATTTCTCCCTTTATTTTGTCAATTTTTGCCTCAGTATTTTGAAGTTCTTTTATTGGTAATATATATAATTAGAATTTTATGTCTTTTTTACCTTTTTTTTATCACTGTGAAATGATTCTTATTAGCTCTGTTAATACTCCTTGTCTTGAAGTCTATTTCGTCTGATATTAACATGATCACACCAGTTTTCTTTTTCTTCTGTTCTTTTTAGGGTTATTTTTCAATGATTTTTTTCTAGTTTTATTAAACTCAGAATGATTCTTATAGTATCTCTAAAGCCAGCACATGTTATTCTAGCAGATTTTAAAAACCCAAACAGGGGCACCTGTGTGGCTCAGTTGGTTAAGCTTATCTGCCTTCAGCTCACATCATGATCCCAGGGTCCTGGAAAGAGCCTTGCATCCAGCTCCCTGCTGAGCAGGGAGTCTGCTTCTCCCTCTCCTTCTGCTTCTCCACCCTGCTTGTGCTCTGTCTCTCTCTCTCTCTCTCTCAAAAAAAAAAAAAAAAAAATCTTAAAAAAAAAACATATAAAGCTATTTTCTATTATCATTTCTTAAGTAGCTTTATTGAAACAGAATTGATATTCAACTATATATATTTAGTATTTTTAAAAAGATTTTATTTAAGGAGGAGAGAGAGAGTGCACATGCATGCATGAGTGGGGGGAGGGGCAGAGAGAAGGAAAGTCAGAGAATCCAAAGCAGACTCCCTGCTGAGTGCAGAGGCCTGACATGGGGCTTGATCTCATGATCCATGAAATCATGACCTGAGCCAAAGTCATAAGTTAAACAGTTAACCGACTGAGCCACCCAGGCACCCCTCACCTGCATATATTTAAAATATGCAACTTGATAAGTATAACATTATGTATGTACCATAAAACCACCATAATCACTTGGGTGGTTATATCCACTTAATAAATTTATCCATCCCCTCAGAAATTTTCTTGTACCCTTTTATAATCTAACCTCCTACCTATCCCATCTCCCCTACATCATCTCAGGTGACCATTGATCTGCTTTGTGTCACCAGAGATTAGTTTACATTTTCTAGAATTTTATATAAATGGAGTCATATAGTACGAGTGCTTTATTTGTCATTTTGAATAATTTTTAGAGATCTTCAAGTTCATTGATTCTTTCTTCTTCAGTTTTTTTTTTTTTTTTAAGTAAGTAAACTCTATTCCCAAAATGGAGCTGGAACTCACGACCCCAAGATCAAAAGTTGCATGCTTTACTGACTGAGCCAGCTAAGGTCCCTCTTCTGCAGTATTGAATTTGCTTTAATCCCATCTAACAAATTGTTCATTTCAGATTTTGTATTTTTCAGTTTTAGAATTTCCATTTAGTTATTTTCTATTTCTCCTAAAATATACCATCTTGTTACCCATTATATTCATCTTTTTTACAGATTCTTTAATAAACTTATAGTGAATATTTTATATGCAAATCTGCTAATTCTAACATCTGAATCATTCACTAGTCATTTTCTACCAACTTTTTTCTTTGGAGGAGTTGCTCAGTCTGTTTTTTGTTTTTTGTTTTTTTAAAGTAGGCTCTATGCCCAGTGTGGATCTTAATGCAGTGCTTAAACTCACAACCCTGAGATCAAAATCTGAGCTGAGATCCAGTGTGGCCCTCAGTCTGTTCATTTTTATTGGATACTAATCAGTGTGGATGATCAATTGTAGAGACCCTGGGTTCTGTTATCTCCCTCTGCAGAGTGTTGCATTTTGTTCTAGTAAGCAATTAAATTGGCGGGTCACCTTGATTCTGTGGAGGCTTGGTTTAAAGCTTCAATAGGTCTGATCTATTTCAGTTTAGCTCTTAATCCATTGAGATTTCAATGGAAAGACCAAGTTGTTTGCCTGGTGCCTTCAACTTGACAGAACTTGAACTCCAAAATTTGTCTTTCCAGCTGTAGATAGCTGCTGAAGTTGCTGCTCAGCCTTTTTTAGCCTTCCAGCTGGGCCCCTTGGAGTCCCACCTCATGAATACATAGTTCCAGAGTCAGCCAGTGATTTGAGTGGAGTGTGTATATAGACTTGATGGCTTCCCTTTCCCTGTCCTCTTCATTTCTAGGATCTCCTCCTGTATTTCCAGCTGTATTGGCAGCCTCAAACTCTGGATCCTCCCTGATTCCTCAACCCAATTATACTGCAGTTTTCTGCTTGAGCCATATTCCTTTTGTACTGTGTGGAAGTGCCCATGGGAAAAAGTGGATCTCACCTAGTCTCACTTTTTCCCCAAGGGTCATATTTCCTCCATTTTTTGCCTGATTTTTAGTTGCTCTCCAGAACCTTCAGGCATTTAAAAAAAATTTTTTTTCCAGAATTTATTACTGCTATTGGCTGGAAGGTTAGCCCAATATAAATTAGCCCACCACTCTAGATATTAGGCTCTCTGCCAACTCCCTTTGGTTCTCGCAATTAAAAATTTTTTAAATTATTTTTTAAGTTTGTTTTTATTTATTTATGTAATCTCTATACCCAAAATGGGGCTTGAACTCATGACCCCATGATCAAGAGTCATATGCTCCTCCAACTGAGCCAGCCAGGTGCACCTCAATTTTTTTTTAAGTAGCATACTGTTTGTGTTTCATGGATGCTGTATCTTTTCTTACTCCTCTGAGGATATTAATGATGGTGTTTTCTGTTTTTTAAGTTTTCTTCTCCATGAATAGTCTATTTCCTTCAATTTTAATTCTTCTCTTTGTTCTTTGTTTTGGTCTCTGACATTTCTGTTGGAGGTTTTTCCCTAATGACCTGTGGTTGTTTACTAATGTTTGAGAGTAGGATACTAAAATCAGATTGAAAGATCTGTGCCCTATAGTACACTTCATGGTATGGTGATCAGGTTGGGCTGTTTGTTGGCTGGCTTATATGCTACTATTTAGAGGTCTGCTCTCATAGGCTGGTCACATTTCCCAGAGAAGATTCTTCCCATCTATTTTCATCAACTCAGGCTGTAATAACACATGCTGCAGATGGATTGCTTATAAACAACAGAAATTTATCTCCCACAGTTCTAGAGGCTGAGAAGTCCAAGACCAGGGTATGGCATGGTTGGGTTCTGATGAAAGCCCTCTTCCAGGTTTCAGACTGCTGACTTCTCTCTGTGTCCTCACATGGTAGAAGGAGCTAGGGAACTCTGTGAGGTCTCTTTACACCCTTGTGACCTAAGTACCTCCCAAAGACCCCCCCCCCCAATACTATCACATTGGGCATGAGGATTTTAAGATAGGAATTTTGTGGGGGGACAAACACCAGATCATAGAATAATCTCTTCTCCCAGAGTTTAGGTTTAGCTGCATGCTTTCTGGGAGCTAAATGGGAATAATGCTGGAGGTCTCACCATCTAGTAGACATATGTTCACTTGATTCCTCAGTTTTGGAGTAGCCAGCCCTGCCCTCAAATGTGCTTGTTGCCTGATGTCTCCTAGGACTGAGTACCTCTGGTGGGTCCTCTTCAGAGGACACACATTCAGACTTATGGGAGGCAGGCAATTGCCTAAGAGCATGGCGTTAGGAGGGCTTCTAGGGGTCTAGCTGTTTCTCAAACAGCCTTCAACTAATCTCCATGCTTCAGTCTCCTTCCTCTACTGCTTATGGTCTCTGGTGTTAATTCCTAAACCATTTGAGGACCCTCTGGAAAATTGGGTTCTTGGCTTACCACACTGCCAGCTTCAGGTTTGGCTTTCTTGAGTGCATAGTCTGTTATCACTTGTGTATCTGCTTTCCAACCTCCAAAATTCTGATGATGGTTTCTCCTCTGGGTTTCAGAAGGGAGAAAAATGAACTCAGAATCCAGCAACTGGAAACCTCCCAGAAGGTTGCTTTCATTGCATTGGTTAAGCTAGAGTGCAGAATCTCCAAGTCCATGGACCTGAAGTATCTCTGAACAGTTAAACCAAGAGGGAAAATTCTGTAAAAACAAAACAAACAGAAAAACACAAAAAAAACCAAGCGCTTATGAATCAGGGTTAGTATACAAAAGTAGCAAGTGTAGATTAATGCTTTTGAGAATTTATTTATAAGCAAAAAAGGGAAATGTTTTGGGCTACATAATCTAGGAAGGAGATCTGAGGGCTTCTCCTGAGGCTGTCTGCTGTGTTGGGGCCTCCACACTTGGATCCTGCTTGATCCTTGCTTCAAGGAAATGCAGTGGGACTGAGGAAGCTCCCAGCAGGGGGCAGCGAAGTGATAGCCTTACAAGGGCAGATGGTAAGCACTGTGATTCTCCAGCCAGGAGTGCAGACTTCACATGTTTTAACTTAAAACCACGGCCAGTATGAAAGCTGGTGTCAACTCTGACGCTAGAGCATTGCTTTAGAAACTGAAGCAGGTAAGTTTAACACAAATAAAAGGAAGTACAATTTACCAAAGCAGATCAGAAACCTGGGAAACTCTTACAAGTGGCTCTTCTTGCAGATGGCTTCATTCCACAGAGGTTGGACAAAAACAGAGCATCATCCTCCAACCCTTGCAAAAAACAAAAGAGAGAGAGAGAGCACCTTCTAGGAAATCCTGGAGGTCCTGACACATACATAACCCTTCACTTAGATGCTGAAGAGGGCAGTATGCTTTTAATGGGATAGATGGAGAATGTGGCAGCTTGGTGTAGTGAGAGATCTTGACCTGAATCAGGAAGATCTGGCTTCAAATCCTGCACTTACTCGCTTGTGTGACCTTGAGCAAGTTCCTAACCTTTCTGATGCTCACCAGGTTCTAGTGAAAGTTAAATCATGCAATTATATAATCCATAACAGGTTCAAAAAAGCAAAGGTTGGCCTAAGTCCGAAACGGAATCATCTGGGTTTTTATTTAACACGTATTTGCTGAGCCCTATCAAATACCAGGCTGTGTACATATATCTCCCTATTCTAGAAAGGCTCATGAAGTGAAGGCCCAGCTCTGTTCCATCCTGCAGACCTTCCTCAGGATGGCGGGAGGCTGTGAAGGTGAGCATCCCTGTGTCCTCTCCTGGTTGCAGAGCATGATGGGAGAGAATGTTCTAGCACTCCCTGGGCTGGGGCACCTGGTCCCATTTCAGCAAACAAACCCCACTTCCCTCTTAGCTGCTTTCCTAATAACCATGCAAAAGGTTTCACAACTTAGTAACAGCAGATAGTAATGATACAGTTTGCAGGCCACTTCTGCTTTTCATTTACTTGTTTCTCTTGAGCGTCTCTAGATGACCAGCTCTGGGGAAGGAGAGTTGAAGGTTTGGGGTGAGGGGGTGTGGGAGGTGGGAATGAGGGCCACTATGACACTGTGGGTATTTGAGATTCGGTAGCCCCCTACAGGAAAATGTGTTCCTAGCCTCTGAGTGCCCACATCACTACCATTAATTATGATTACTTCAGATCACGGTGTGTCTCCCCCAGGCTAGTCATGCTCCCCATTCCTTAGTATCTGGTCAGAGACAGCCCATGATAATGGGTTTGATAAGCATATCGGGACCTGCTGGTATGCTGTCTGCCTTGGCAGTAACCACTACACCTGCCCCTCCAAAACCCAGCTTTTAATGAGGATACATCACTGTCATTCATGTATTTCCTTGGCCTCAGTTAGACTTCCTTTTAGTCCAACCTTAAACTACCCTGTAAGCTTTTGTTTAAATTAATGCGTGACTGCCTTTCCTTGACATTTGTGACATTTTTGGTGGGAGGGATGGCTCGGTCCTTGCATTCACCTTGCCGCCATGGTCAGAACTGCATTAACATTGAGCCCCATTTCTCTCCTTCCCCAGAACTCACATGCTGCGTGTCGGACTGAGCTACCCCTATTCATCCTATAAGCCAAGACTCGCTACACTGTCCCGCTGATGTTCACAGTTGTTTCTGGGAAGGAGGCAGTCCTATTTCCAGCACATTTCAGTGGGAGACCTGCGGTGCCTCCTGGAGACTCAGTGAGGCAGGGGAGGAAACTGTAGGAGTGCACATCCCCAGAGCTGCGTCTCCATGTGTGAATCAATGTCACCTCGCTTTCCTCTCAGAGACCTAACTGTCCCACGGCGGGACCTGCCTGAAAATTGAGGAGTGAAGAGAGCCCCTCAGCCTCCTCCTTGTCCAGCACTCTGCTCCCAGGCACCGCAGCTCCCCAGGCAGAGGAGAGCTCAGAGCTGCTGCTGCCCTGCATGTGTCAGCTCAGCCCTGTTGGTGCTCTGATGCTCTAATGGAGGGACATGGCAGCTTTCTGAATGGATTTTTCTTAAGAAAAGTGCCAGTGTTTATGCACTTCATGATACCTGCCCCTCATCCTCGCCGTAACTGTCACTTGGCTTTTTCTCAATAGGTTTCATCTTTATTTATTTATTTTTTTAATGGGAAAGTTTTGCTCTTACCCCTGCATCCTATATTCGCCCCCCCCTCCTGGACCCCTCCTAGGTACAGAATTATGAGATTCCGAAAAAAAAAAATAAGAAAATCATTCTTCCATAAGCCTGTGAACTCTTCATATCATCTGTATTTTATTGTTGGAGAGAAGCTGGTGTTCTACTTGATTCTGCTGGCCCCAGACAGCTCCAGCAAAAACAGATGTTTAAACCGAGCTAAGCGTGTATATCACTGTGGCAAGCCATCCGTGTACTGCCCTATTTCCTGACAGCCAAGCCAGCCGCCGAACTACTGCAGCCAGGTCAGTCCTTCAACGAGTCACAAATCACCCAGGTTTATTTTAAGCAGATGGAATCTGTTTGGCCTAGGAGGGTGAAACAAGAGAAGTGTGTTTGCAGGTGAGTGTGTATATATGACACCACGAGCTCCCCTCTCCATTCCAGCTCAGACATTGCTGTGAACACATGCGCCTAGGCCCTGGGACATGTGCCTGTGACCCAGTTTTCACTGGCTTGGGTCCTTCCTGTCTGCCCTCAGCACCAGCCTTTGCTGGCACCACTGGCTGGCCATTCTGCAGCACTGTGCACACAGCTGCAGGGGTAGGAATAACTTAGTGCCCCACAACTCCCCGAGCATATAAGAATCTGGCTGCTTCCCTGTCCTCCATTTGCAGCCACAGGCCACAGGCTCACAGCACTGTGAAAGAAAACTGGAGTCTGGCCTTCCAGCTGTCCCTGGGGTCTGCCACTGGATGGCCAAACAGCCAGGTGGTTGCAGGATAGAATGACTACAATTGAGCTGACACTCCCCTTCCCCCCCCACCCAGCCCTCAAGCAGAGTGAGGTATCACTAAAATGACGGTGCCCAGATCCTCGGAGGCTGGGTTCAGCTCAGAAAAGAGAATGTGATGGATGATGGCTGGCTGAAGGCGATGCCCAGAGCTCAATCTCCAGTTTTGCAGCCCGCGTGGCTTCCCTTCTAAGGAGTTGCTTCTCATCTTTGGCTTTTGCAAGGGTGACCTGGGGATGTTCTCACCACTGCTAACTCTTGGAGCTGTTCTGGGTCTTGGCTCAGGGCCCCTACTATGGGCCCATGTTAGAGGTACCCAGTGAGTAGGGCAGAGGTGACAGGAATTGCCCTCAGGGTTCTCCAGAGAGAAGCCCCCTCTGCAAAGACCCAGGGAGGGGAAGCAAATGGCACTCTGCATCACATACCATGTGGTATGTTCTCTCTAAAGAAAGACATGGGAAAGCTGTCTCTGTGTCCTGCCCTGGATTTATTGTCGCACATGGACACAGGGTGTGCAATGGCTCCCAGGCCCTTTCACACGCCTCTCCTGACCCGTGTGAAATGTGACTGTTGAGATGAGAAAAGTCCACTTCTGTGACTCCGCTGCCAGCCTTCACTCTGCCTTTTGGGAGAGGCCCTCCTCACCCAGGCCCAGGAAAGTTGGAGACCAGGGCCAAGGCCAGTGTGCAGGAAATACAGGGAGTGCCCCCACCCTGGTTGTAGTTTACTTTTAGCTTTGGAGAAAGCGCTGCTCCTTTTGAGCCACATGTGTGAGGAAAGCTGTTCCTTCACCTTGTAGTAAGAGCTCCTGGTTCTGCAGCCCCATCCTCCTACAAAGAGGATGTTGACTAAGATCTTTTTGTTCTCACTTCATCTCTGGAAAGTTCCCCAGCATTCTGATTGAACACTCAAGGGAATAAAGAAATGACACCAAGGAGGCTCTAACATTTGCCTTGGCCATTTTGAGCAGTTGGTGCTGAGAACGTTTCCCAGCCACCCAGCCCTTTCTAGGGCCACAGTGTTTCCGCTGTGTGTGTTAAGGGTATGTCAGCATTGTGCAGTGAACTTGTGGGCTAGATATGCGGGTGTGTCTGCACAGCCCACAGGTGTGCCTGGTGGCGCTGTGCTGAGCCTGATCTGTGCTCCCTTGGATGAGGACACGGAAGCTCACAAGCCATCTTCCCATTCTGCCATCACTACCTGCCCACCCCTAGAGATGGTGGCAAAGAGGAAGACAGACTGGGTGTTAGCCCACCTCTCACAGCTCCACTTTGCCCACAGCCTGGCTTATTAGTCAGCATGCAACCAGGGAAACAGAGGCCACTCCAAATATTGAAAACAGGGGCTTTTATCCAGAGAATCATTGAACACAGACACCAGAAGAACCGAGAGGCCATGCAGGAGAACAAGCGGCAACCTAGAGGTGGGGAACTGCCACCACCAGGGGCTGGTGGGACACAGGGGAGAAACCATGTTACCAGAGCAGGGGAACTGGGGCCACTGGGAGGAACTGGGGACCATGGAAGGCCTATCTGGTGGGAGCTGGGGCCTCGAGGAAGCAGGGTCCCTACTGGAAACAATCCCCACCCCACCCCCGGCAGGTGTGGGGAGGAATAGCTTGGCTTCTCCTTTTCTCCTGCCCTACAGGTTCTTCAGGTACCTCTGGTTAGGGAAGCCCAGCTGGAGGCCAGCTGACCTGGGGTCCTGGCACAGGCACGTGGCAGCATTCAGTCCCCACCTTTCAGAGCAGAGTGGGGAAGGCAGGCTGGGACATGCATGGCCTGGGTTTTCCCCATGTCATGTCCAGCCCAGTGTTTGTACCCCGTGCTATCCTAAGACTCCGGGGAGGATAGACGGAGGAACTGCCTCCCCCCGGGGTAGGGGGCTTTGTAGACTCACTCACCTAAAGAGGAAAATGTTTTTGGAAGGGAGGGGTAAAGCCTTTATTCTTAACAGTTGTCCCTGTTTTCCTTTGGGGGAATTTACCCATTTAGCCACCGCGCCTCACTGTTCCCCTCAAGAAAGCCATGTCCCAGTTTCCCTTCCATCCCTTGGCCTCCAAGTTCTGACTTGCCCTGCCAGAGAACACTGGCCCAGACCATACATAAGTGGTCATGAGTGTTTCCGCAGGATAATTCATTCTGAGCATCATATTAGTGTGGAATGTCTGTAAGTAGATCCCATCTACTAATCAATTTGTATTGTGTTTCCAATAAATTTCTGGAGATCATGTCTGGTTTTATGCTGTGCTTTCCTGGGATGGTGGCTCAGCTGTAAGGCTTGGTGCATGCTCGCCCCAGCCCTCAGCATCAGATGCCCCTTGTCTTGGGTTCCCTGTCTCCCTGCAGAACTCACAGACCAGGCTGGTTAGGCTGATTTTCCCCAGCCACACTGAGACTTTCAGGGAACTTTTCCCAGGGTCTGCATTTTCTCCTACTGCCTCATAAAGCCACATCCTGAGGGCATGGAGGTTTCATGAAGCTAGGTCACTCCAGGAGGTGGCCATGGACCCTTGTGTGCCCTCAGCCTGGAGGTAGGAGGAGTCACCTTTCCCCATCAGCAACTCTGGCCCTGCTGTGCCCAGCGTTGTATGCTGGGCCCCCGGTGAGAGAAAGGCTACAGAGCAGGTGAAGGGACCCAGGAGCTGCACACCACATAGATGAAAGCCCAACACCTTCTTCTCAGGCCCGTAAGTAGAAAAGAAATGTCTGAGTTTTCTTAAAGGTGGAGGGAGCCCAATCTGAATGCCTAGCATTCTCCACTGTTTCCGGATTGCCCTGAGCATTGAAACCTGCTTGGTAGAAATTATTCTTGGTTGGGTATTTTGTTGCTTCAAACCTGTTTGACTGCAGTGTAGACTCTGCCTCAAGTGCTGTGCTAGAGCCATTGTAAATCCACTTGGGACCCCTTCAGCCCAAGTCTGTGAACTACACCTGTTTGTGATCCTTGTTTGCTGGGATTTGTGAGAGATTTTTTTAAAAAGAGAAAAGGGGGGTGCACCTGGGTGCCTCACTTGGTCGGGCATCCAGTTCTTGATTTCAACACTGATCAGGATCTCAGGGTCATGGGTTGAGCCCCACATCGGGCTCCATCCTGGGAGTGGAGGCTGCTTGAGATTCTCTCTCTCCCTCTCCCTCTGCTCCATCCCTCCCCCACTCATGTGCACTCTGTCAAAAAATAAATAAATAAAATAAAAAGAGAGAGAGACACTGAGTTTCCTTCCAGAGTTTTCACTAGAGAAGGAAGACATACACACACAAGATTACCAGAGACCAGGAGCCTTATAATGAAGGCTATGTCTGTTCTTGCAGGAATTCTGAGATAGAGGGCTCAGTAAGGCAGGACTCCTGGTCAAGAAAAGTTTTGTGGAAGTAGGGGGACCCCTCAGGATGCATGAAACACAGCAGCCTTGCTGAGATTTTTTTTTTCATTTGTCACAAGTGTGTTCATAATTGCTCACTGAAGCATTTTTCTGAAGACTTCTTTAAAATCCTTGTTAAAGGGGATCCCTGGGTGGCTCAGCAGTTTTGGCGCCTGCCTTCAGCCCAGGCCGTGATCCTGGAGTCCCGGGATTGAGTCCCACATCAGGCTCCTTTCATGGAGCCTACTTCTCCCTCTGCCTGTGTCTCTGCCTCTCTCTCTCTCTGTCTGTCATGAATAAATAAATAAAATCTTTTAAAAAAAATCCTTGTTAGACAATTCTAATGTCTGTGACATCACAATGTTGACAATCTGTTGATTGTCTTTTCTCATTCAAGCCAAGAATCTGATGGTTCTTGGTACTTTCGTTGAGTGCTTTTGATTGAAACCTGGACATCTTGAGCATTATCTGTGAAACTCTAGATGTTATTTAAATATTGTTTTAGCAAGCCTTGTGTGAGACTCTCTGGCAGAATAAAGGGGGAGCTGCTTTGTTACTGCTAGATGAGATGTAAGTCTAGAATCCCCACTGTGCATTTAGGGACTCCGGGAGGCTCCTCCTTACTGCTAGGTGTTTTGTTTTCTTTGCTAAGTTTTCTTAACTTTTTCTTTTTTAAATTGAGACATAATTGATATAAAACATTGTATTAGTTTTAGGTGTACAAAATAATCATATGATATATGTACACTGCAAAGTGATTACCACAATAAATTTAGTTAATATCCATGCAAGTTTTTTTTCTTTATAGGAACTTTTTAAAAAAGCTTTTATTTGGGATGCCTGGATGGCTCAGCGGTTGAGCGTCTGCCTTTGGCTCAGGGCGTGATCCCAGAGTCCCAGGATCGAGTCCCACATCGTGCTTCCTACATGGAGCCTGCTTCTCCTCTCCCTCTGCCTGTGTCTCTGCCTCTCTGTGTGTGTGTGTGTCTCTCATGAATAAATGAATAAATAAATAAAATCTTAAAAAAGCTTTTATTTATATGAGACAGAGTGAGCAAGTGAGAGAGCACGCAAGCAGAGGCAGAGGGAGAGGGATTAACAGGCTCCCCTGCTGAGTAGGGAGTTTGATGTGGGGTTCAGTTCCGGGATCATCACCTGAGCCAAAGGCAGATGCTTAACTGACTGAGCCACCCAGAGGCCCTTCTTATGGGAAATGTTAAGACTTACTCTCTTAGTAACTTTCAAATACACAATATAGTATTGAAGTATAGTCACCAAGCTATAAATAACATCCCCAGGACTTGTTTCTCTTATGACTGGAAGTTTGTACCTTTTGACCAACTTCACCTATTCTCTCATTCCCTACCTCTCACCTCTGGCAACAACTAATCTGTTCTCCATATCTATGAGTTTGGTGGTGGTTGTTTCAGATTCCACATGTAGGTAAGATTGTACAGTATTTGTCTTTCTCTGAATTATTTCTAGTATAATGCCTCAAGGTCCATCCATGTTCTCACAAATCGCAAGATTTCCTTCTTTTTATGGCTGAATAATATTCCTCTGTGTACGTGTGCATGCATGTGTGCACATACACTCCACATTTTCTTTATCCATTCATCTCTCAGTGGACACTTAGGTTGTTTCCATGTCTTGGATATTGTAAATAATGCTGCAGCAAACATGGGGGTGCAGATTTTTTTTTTTGAGACAGTGATTTTATTTCCTTTGGATAAATATCCAGAAGTAGAATTGCTGGATTATATGGTAGCTCTATCTTTATTTTTAATTGTTTTCATTTTTATTCATCTCTAAGTATTTTCTTATTTATCTCATGATTTCTTCTTTGATCCATTGGTTGTTTAAAACTGTATTGTTTCTTTTTTACAGTTTTATGAATTTTCCAGTTTTGCTTTTGTTACTGATTTCTAATCTCATCCTGTTGTGGATGAAGATACTGTGTATGATATCTATCTTTTTAAACCTATTGAGACTTAATTTATGGTCTAAAATATCTATCCCGGAAAATGTTCCATGTACACTTGAAAAGAATGTGTATTCTGTTGCTGTGGGTGGAGTGTTCTGTACACATTGGCTAGATCTAGTTGGTTTATTGTGTTAAGTCCTCTGTTTCCTTACTTGTCTCTGTGTGGTTGTTCTATCCATTATCAAGAGTGGAGTGGCGAAGTCTTTGCTGTTGTAGAACTGTCTATCTCTCTCTTCAGTTCTGTCAGATTTTGCTTTATATATTGTGATGGTCTGTCATTAAGTACATGAATGATTACAGCTGTTACGTCATCTTGTGGTACAGAACCTTTTATCAATATATAATATTATTCTTTGTAAACCTTTTTTATTTTATCTGATATTAAGTATAGTCACCCCTGCTCTCTTGGTCACTATTAGTATGAGATATCTTTTTCCCTCCTTTCATTTTTTTTTAAGATTTTATTTATTTATTCGAAAGAGAGGGAGAGAGGGAGGGGCAGAGACACAGGCAGAGGAAGAAGCAGGCTCCATGCAGGGAGCCCGACGTGGGACTCGATCCTGGGGCCTCCAGGATCACGCCCCGGGCTGAAGACGGCACTAAACCGCTGAGCCACCTGGGCTGCCCCCCTCCTTTCATTTTTATTTTTATTGTATTTATTTTATTTATTTTATTTATTTTTATTGGTGTTCAATTTACCAACATACAGAATAACACCCAGTGCTCATTCCGTCAAGTGTCCCCCTCAGTGCCCGTCACCCATTCACCCCCACCCCCCACCCTCCTCTCCTTCCACCACCCCCAGTTCATTTCCCAGAGTTAGAAGTCTTTATGTTCTGTCTCCCTTTCTGATATTTCCCACACATTTCTTCTCCCTTCCCTTATATTCCCTTTCACTATTATTCATATTCCCCAAATGAATGGGAACATACACTGTTTGTCCTTCTCCGATTGACGTACTTCACTCAGCATAATACCCTCCAGTTCCATCCACGTTGAAGCAAATGGTGGGTATTTGTCATTTCTAATGGCTGAGTAATATTCCATTGTATACATAAACCACATCTTCTTTATCCATTCATCTTTCGATGGGCACCGAGGTTCCTTCCACAGTTTGGCTATTGTGGACATGGCTGCTAGAAACATCGGGGTGCAGGTGTCCTGGCGTTTCATTGCATCTGAATCGTTGGGGTAAATCCCTAACAGTGCAGTTGCTGGGTCGTAGGGCAGGTCTATTTTTAATTCTTTGAGGAACCTCCACACAGTTTTCCAGAGTGGCTGCACCAGTTCACATTCCCACCAACAGTGTAAGAGTGTTCCCTTTTCTCCACATCCTCTCCAACATTTGTTGTTTCCTGCCTTGTTAATTTTCCCCATTCTCACTGGTGTGAGGTGGTATCTCATTGTGGTTTTGATTTGTATTTCCCTGATGGCAAGTGATGCAGAGCATTTTCTCATGTGCATGTTGGCCATGTCTATGTCTTCCTCTGTGAGATTTCTCTTCATGTCTTTTGCCCATTTCATGATTGGATTGTTTGTTTCTTTGCTGTTGAGTTTAATAAGTTCTTTATAGATCTTGGAAACTAGCCCTTTATCTGATATGTCATTTGCAAATATCTTCTCCCATTCTGTAGGTTGTCTTTGAGTTTTGTTGACTGTATCCTTTGCTGTGCAAAAGCTTCTTCCCTCCTTTCATTTTGAACCCGTTTGTGTCTCTGGATCTCAAGTGTGTCTCTTATAGATAGCATAGAGTTGGATCAGATGTTTTTATCCATTCTGCCAATGTCTGTCTTTTGATTGGTGAATTTAATCCACTTACATTTAAAGTAATTACTGATAAGGGGGGAGACTTCTATTTGTTTTCTACATGTACTATAACTTTTAT